ATTTTCTCTTTTTTAAAGGTTATAAAAATAAATCAGTGTTTATAAGTGAGAGTGCAAACAGATGAAAATCTTGATGTGTGTTGAAAAGTACATTCTCTTAGTCTTGGTTAAAAATGCTGTCTTCCTCACCTGGTTTATGTTACTTGTCTTTTAAAGACTGTTCAGTTCAACCTGGATCCATTCATTTTAATTTTAGTTGAAATTGGTGGATTTTTGAGGCCCCTAGTTAATGAGGCTATTGCTATCTTCAGGTTTTGACCAACTGGCAAACTTGAAGGGCAAGACAGGGAAGTAAAGGAAAGGGGGTTATTTTTTTTTTTAATGTTTATTGTTCTCAGCTGGTGTCCACCAGTCAGGGATCTAATCCCACAGATGCTAATGGATGGGCTGTTTTGAGGGTCATTGTGGACTTGGAGGGGATTGTAAGTAAATACCCTTCACCAAAACATGTTTGAAGACCACTGAAGAATTGTTTTATATAGTCCTTGCATAACTGTTTGTGGGCCATCAAATTAAAATGTTTTAAAATAGGCTTGCAGAGAAACCTACTTTTGCCGACTCTGTAGATTGGCTTGTTTATTTGCATAAATTTTCATTTAGGTTTTTGAAATGCTGAGTAAAAAGAGATATGGAAAATATGGGATAGTTATGCTATTTATGCCTTTCACAGTTCTGTTTTTCATGTGCTATAGAAATGTTTCCATTATTTTATTTTAAGGTTAAATGCTGTAATCGTGTGGTAGTATTTCTTTGTAGACAGCACTTTAAAGGCTGTGTGAATACTGCACACTGTGTGCTCAGACTTATTGTATTATTCCTGTGTGTATTTTGGTGTGAAGCTGCTAAAGACACTTAAGTTGTATGAAAAACGTGTTTTTGCAAACCAGTAAATGTGAACCTTTTTTGCATCCATTTGATTTTTTTTGAACTCAAGACTGTTAAATGTCACAGGTTTTTTGTTCTGTTTTGTCTGTCTCTTTTGGCAGTGGTGCTGGCAAGATTTGAGGTGCTTGCGTTTTTTTTTAGCTACCTTACAAAGGATTTACTCATTAGCCCTATTTTATGGGTTGAGCTAATTGTCATTTGTCTTGCTGAGCATATTATGCAGTTTGGGCCAATTAAGTGAATCCACTTACACCAACGGATGTTGTTCCAATGTGTAATATTGATTTGAGCTATAAAAGGAGAATGACTTGTTTGATTAGATTTCTTTGTCTAAACAATGCTCGATCTTATCTAGTATACCAAGCAAAAGTGTTCTCTTCATTGAGGTTTTTTTAATTACTCCTTAGGTTTGATCAGCTGTAAATGCATCCATAAGAGTTGACCTATAATATAAATTCTGAAGCAGTACAAAAGATTTAGGGGGGAAATGCAGCTTGCAACTCAGTATAACTGTCTCTGCTGAGTGAATATCAACCTGTATTGAGATCTGGGGATGTGTAGGCTGACCCACACTGAAAAACTGGGACACTTGGGAATCCCAGACATTTACCTCCTTGGAGATGGAGGAGAAGGGGAGTGAGTGTGTGTGTGTATGTGTTAATTAGGCATTTACACTGAAGTACATTACATCTGTCACATGATAAGCCTCAGAAACTGCTGAAGTATATAAAATCTGTGGAAACTAGGCAGGTGGTATTAAGCACTCTGTTAGGAAATGCATGTAGATGTATTTCTCTTTGTTGGCTCTCAAAGTCAGCCTTTACTTTTTAGAATTAGTAAATGAGAATAACTGTGAAACAAACTGGGAAGAAAAACAGTTTTGTCATGAACCAGGTCCACATGAAGGTAACAAACTCTGGAACTGCTGAATAATTATTGTACTAGGGATCTTTAAATTATCTTGGTGTCTTTGATTGTTTATATATTCATATGCACTAAAACTAAGTGGTTAGATTGCATATGCATTGCATATGAATGTGGTTTAGTTCCTTACCTTAAAATAATTTTTAATATATTCTTTATCCATACTGAGAAAATTTTCTATGTTTCAGTGTTGAGAGGCATGCATATTTAATATGCATTGTAAATAATATAGATTTCAACTAGTGATCTGCAGCAGCTGAGTGACTCCTGAAGAAGGTTACCTTGATTTTGCTGTGTGAAACAGAACATCTCTAGGAGACCTACATATATTTTAGGTATAAAGTTATTAATTTTGATATCTTGAAATCATGATTATTTGATATACAGTTTTAATTACAGGGATAATAAATTAAGAGTATGGCTAGGCAAGAGAGCGTGTTGCTGTCAAATGAATATATGTGCCACTCCAGGGTAAAGGAGAGCTAACATGAGCAAGGTAATTTGGGTACTTACAAGCTCTGGTTCCATGCAGCCCTACTAAATTGGGTTGTCTCCTGCAAAGCAGATATTGACTATTTTTGTGACGCTTATATACAAAACTTTGGGATATGGACATATTTGTATTCAGGGGTGTGGGGGCAAGCCCTGGCACCAACCTTGGTTTATAAATCGTCCTGAAATACTGAAATATGGTGTAGAAGGATCTCCAAAACAAATTGCTGCTCCTGTTATTACCTCTTACTGCACTCTGAACCCTGAGAGCTGCTGCAGCCTGGAGCAGTGTTTGGAACCAGTCCAAGCCAAAAATGACTGGCTAGTCAGCCCTGATAGACTCCTTGCTTTACTTACCTATTTGCTGGAAAGGTAGTGAAGAAACACGAAGCTGTTCCTGTGTAAAGATCTGGCAGGATTTGCTGATTTAGGTGCCTTGCCATGAAGGTGGTTCCTGGACCTAAACTAGCTTTGGAACCAGTGGCCATTTCTGTGCAGTTTGCTTCTGGATTAATAAACTTGTTGGACTTGAGCTAGTTCTTGTGGTCAGGAAAACTTATGCAGTAAAATAGTTGTAGTACTTCAAATTGTTTCCAACTGACTTTGTACCTTAATCCAAAAATAGTTACATGATGTAATAGTATTCATTCTGATGTTCTTCAATGGCTGCTCTTTGTACTAGTAGGACTGTGTTGGTGTCTCAGTGTGTGGGTGTGAAGTTTCTCTCTTAATACCCAAAAGTAGCTAACTATGTTAAGTTCTTGTCAGTAAGGAAGCTTTTGGTTTTGTAAAACATACATGCTTAATTAAGCTTAATCTTGAACGACTTTGTTTAGACATGTAAACCGCATTGGAATTCAAAACAACTGAAAGCATATAAATTGATCGTGAATATAAAGGTATCCAGGGGCCATGCTGTTTCTTGAACTTAGAGCTGTAAGAAGGATGACAGGCTAATCTTGATAGCATTGGGTCAAAATAGATTGCTGACTTAGTTGCGGAGGTGTACTTACGAGAAAACGTTAAAATCCTGCTGCGTGATTGTCTGTGCTAGTTCTTAGGATTTTTTGTTTTGGTTTTGCTCTGTTTATAGTGCGAGGCCAATGCTGTAGTGGTAAAACAAAACTGTTGTGACTTTACAGAAGCAATAATTCAAATGTGAAATATGCGGCAATTTCAGGACATTATGTGAACTCTCATATACTTGAGTATGTAGCAAATTCAGAAGCTATTTAAGAGATGCCTCCAGGAAGAAACTTTGGATTAGGTGGCAAGTTAATGTTCCTTTCTGGGATTAACTTTTGCAGAATTCAGAAAAAGTCACTAAAACAGAAGAAAAAATGCTTAATAAGGACTCTTGTCCTTTTGATACATGTTTATTATATTTATCTGACTACATACTTCTCATTGTGTTGTTCAAAATACTGTCTGACTATTGCTTATCACTGTTTCTAGATAATTTTTTTTCTGGCCTTACTTTTCCTGAATGAGCCAATAGTGTATGCAGGCTACTTTACTTCTTACTAGTTTGTCATCCTTGACAGCCTTCATACTACTTGCAAATTAAATTCCTTTTCACAAAGAATGAAATTTCATGTTTATAAACCACGAATATTTTGTTTCTCATATGTTAATACTCATCTTCTAAAAGAACACCCTTTTTAGACAATGTATTTTCAGTTTCAAATGCTGAAGATGATATCAAATAGTTCATAAAATAGCTTTTAAAATTGGTAAGCATTGGAAATGTCAAATTGTCATTCCAAACAAGTCTTACTGACATAGCTAATAATCTTCCACAGTTTAGGCAATGGCATGCTTTCTTAAATACACACTGAAAGGGAGCTTACAACAAGCGGAATGAGATAAAACTGGTTGTTTGGTTTCTTGGTTGTGTGTATTTTACTACAAAGAAAGTATTCTGAACTCTGAAAGCATGTTAAAGACCAATCTGATTAAACTTTCATAACTTTTCTTAAAGTTAAGTGTGCATGTAAGTTGTATGTGGACTTTTAACTTCAAATCTAGTTATTTTATTTTTCCTGATAAAAGGTTGGAAATGTTTATCCCTTTTGTGTTTAACTAAAAGTATTTGGCAAATGCATATAAATAAGTATACAATGAATTAGGAATCAAACATGAGCCTGCTTAAATAATTCTCAAGATTTTCTGGTTCGTGTGTAGCGATATTGAACTCTTTAGTCATAGGCTTTAATTTGTGCATGGTGCTGACCTGATGCTGTGCAGGGACACTCATTGCATCCCTTCATTCAATTCACTCTAATTATCCCCAACTTCCTGGGGAGCCTGCTTAGAACTGGTCATGAATGTTTGTTATTAAGTATTAAGATATTAGACTACCCTGGTTACATGTAACAAAGTAGTTTTTGTCTGAATTTACATATAGATGATCAGTATAGGAAGCTGAAATTATATTTCTCATGATTTTATTTAATCAAATTAAAAATAATATATTGGAATAATAAAACATTTTGACAGTGACTTAAGCTCAGAGTTAAATGAAATGAGATTTATTGTGCAAGTACTTGTATGTCAGTGTTGGTAATTTCAGTGCGCATTTTAGAGTGGTTATGGTATGTAAATTATCTTTGAAACAATCAGATTTGTGTGCATATAACTGGGTGATGGTAATTATTTTTGCTGGGAGCATCTGTTAATGCAGAATATTGCCTCTTCAGGTTCATGTGAAAATGGCGGATGAATCTGTCTGTGTTGGCCCAGCTCCCACCAGCAAAAGCTACCTCAACATGGATGCCATCATGGAAGTCATTAGGAAAACCAGGGCCCAAGCTGTGAGTCTGAATGAGTCTATCTGCTGCAGCTGTTTCATATATAGAAAGCAGAAAAGCCAGAGTTTGTATTTTTTTTTTTTTTAAAGGTGTTGGGGGGGGGAAGTGATTGAATATGCTATTCCAGTTAGTTCATGTCACATGAGTTAAATGTGTCTGAAATCGCTACTGGAAATCAAAGGCTTTGTAGCATCTGGCAGCACTGGTCGCTGATCCTGCAGGTGGCTGCTGGATTCAGCTTTCACACCAGGGAGCAGCTTCAGTTCATTTCCAAATTTGCTGGGGGAAAAAAAAAAATCCCAATTAGTTTTAAGCGCTAACCCTTTATATGCCATAATGGCTTTTTTGAATGCTTTACAAAGTGTGTCCAGAAAGGCTTTTACCTAAACTTAGTTTGAATTACTTTCTATGTTATATAAATGTTATTTGAAGGATGGTAAGGTAAATAGTGCATCCTTTAATTGTTTTTGGTTCAGAATGTTTATAAAATGCACATGAACTTGTGTGTAAATGTGGACTAGTCTGCCTTTCTTCTTCCAAATTGGCCAGAGATTCAAAGCTTAGCAGGAATCAGTTGGAAAAACTAATATGTAGTTGTGTTCACATGCCTAATGTTCTTTGTTCTGTCAGTGAAATAAATGTATTATTCAGAGCTACTCTACACAGAACATTTATTAAAGTAAAATTTGTGTATATATGAGCAACACTAATTACCCTGGAACAGTTTGATCAGCATTGTAACTTCTTTCAAAGATGATGTTTTGATATGGTGCTTTCAGGGGCCAAAAACTTTCCTATAAAGAAAAAAATATTATCTTCCCTTTGAGTTTCTGAATCTGGAACTCTGAATATGGAACTGAATATTGGCTCTTTTTAAAAGAGGGGAATAAAAGGGCTTATACTTTATCTATCAAAGTATTAGATCAAGAACCTTATGTGAATCGTGGGAAGTAAAATGAAAGTTTTTCCCATGCGCATCTCAAGTAATTACACTGGGTCTATATTGGGATGCATGTAGCAAACCAGGATGCTTCACTTACACAGCTGAAGACCCTGTACTGTGCTCTCCAGCAAGGGTCGCTAGAGGTTGGAGTGACCTCCTGTTACTGTGGACCTTTGCACCACTGTTGTGGTGAGTGCTGGAAATATTTTGGGATTAGGAGTACTTTATGGTGGTTATTGAGAAGAGCATGGATGAGCATACGTGTGGAAATCTGCAATGGAGCTAAAAATTTAGACAGAAAGCAGATCATCAGAGTTCATTGCTCTTCAAACAGCCCCTTTCTCCCTAGTTAAGTAAGGAATGTTTGCTTCAGAAATGCTAGCTCAACAACTTGACTTAGGATAGATAAATCAGTGTGTTAAGACAGTTTCTTTAAGGTATTCGACCTATTTAAATGCTTAGTGATCTACTTCACCTTCCCCAGTATCTGAAAAGGTGCTGACAAGTTTGCTGTCTGGTTTCAGAACTCAATCAGCTTGAATTTTTTTTTTTTTTTTGTCTTCCAAGGTACACCCAGGATATGGATTTCTTTCAGAAAATAAGGAATTTGCTAGACGTTTGGTAAGTTATTTCTATTTGCTTAGCTGTGACTGCTGCACTAGGTGGCATATATTAATTCCGAGGTATCTGAGGAATCGAGATAACTTAGATCTAAAAGATACCATAAGGTAGGAGATTTCAGTACGCTTTCTGTGCATGTGGACTTCTTGCACTCTGAGAGTGTAATTGCAGCCTGTGTTTTCTTTTGGGAAAAGAGGAGATGCCTGTTTGTAAGAACCTTATCCAGGATGTAAGAACCTTTTGGCATTTTCACTTATGCCTGTACTGTTTATGAGGCTGCTCTGCAAAACTGGGTCACTGAAATCATCTAGGTTAAAAGTATGTGGTTTTAAGTGATCATTTTGGTGATTCATAGCACAGCTGGTGAACAGCTGTATCAGCAGCCCTGAGAAGGTGCTGAACTGCACTTCAGGATGGGAATAGAAAACTGTTTAAAAACTGGCTTCTCTGCTGGTGGTATTTTATCGTGGAGCTGCATTCTCTGAAAGGGCCAAAGAGCCAAGACGGTGCTGTTTTCACTTCATGTCTGAATTTATAAAAATTACTGTTAAAAACCTCTTTACTTCAGTAGGGTTTTTGTATATCACAAACTGATATATGACCTTTTTACTGATTTGATTTTTTTTTTTTCCCAAAAGCTTTCATGCAGCTGCTTATAAATTTGAGCATTGCTAGGGGAAAGTTACATGCACAATGTTTGAACAAAGTCCTGAGTGGATACTGTATGTGTAGTCACTGCAGACCTTGTGTTATTATCTACTGGTTTTGCTCAGAATAAGGACAAAACACATATTACATTGAAGTTTACATTGCACTACCAACTTTGTTACAGAGTAAATGAAGCATATAGCTGAAGAAACATCTTGTTTTACAGGCAGCAAGATAAATTTGCTTCTGGTTTTGAGAATGATTTGTACCTTTTTGATTCAGGGTAAAAAACTTAGATGAAGAATGTGATTCTAAAGTGATAGCTCTTTCAGCTTCAGCATTTGTGGAACAGGTCTTGTTTCCGCATATCTTCCTTAACCATGTCCCTTTTGGCTTGAGTTCTATCTGTAATACAGGTCCTTATTATTTAGTTGATTATTTGGTGTTAGAGAACACCACCTGCTTATGAGGAGACTACTGGAGAATGAAATACAAAAATTCTCATACTTCATAGTTGCTGGCATTTTTTTTTTTTTTTTAAAACCCCTAGATAAAAACAAGTGCAGATCCTGCCAGGTGCTGGTAATGTTTAAGTTGAAAGGAATTCTAAAGACTTGGTGTTTGCCAGGATTTACCGAATCTAGGGTAATCTCTTACATGTTATTTTCATGCAGTTTAGCAGCTTTCTTTTATCACTGTTCTGCTTCACGTACCAGAAGCTCTTCTACAGAGAAGATTCCTGGCTTAATTTATAACAAACTCTGTTCTCACTGGATTAGACCAGCAGGATAACTGGCTTTAGTTGGCAGTTCCTGCTTTTTGATAACAAAAAAGTTAATGAAACAGAAGTGCTTGCATATGCTATTTTGCATTTTATTTTACTGCCAAACTTTGAAATTTGGTAGTTATTACTCTGAACTGGGCACATATCCTAATAGTGTGGTTGTTATTTGGTGATGTGACAGTCTGGAACACTTTTTTTGGGCAGAATTAAGAAGAATGGAGGAAGTACAAACATTCCTGTGGATCCCCTGCCCTTTTCTATTTCTCATCTTTTCACTCGGAATCTAGGAACAGTTTCTGAACAGTTTCCTGAAATAATGTGGTGACTAGAAACATGTTTGAGTTTGGGTTGGGGCTACAGTCTCAAAATAGCTTTAATTATGTTTCAGAAACCTGGTGTGTTCAGTTCTCTAAAAATATACTAAAACAAGGTAATGCTACTTTGCTTTCTGAAATGCACTATTTAAAGTCTCAATTAAGACATAATCCTGCTTCCCCTGTTGTCAGTGGCTCTAGAAGATCAAACCCCTGGTGAGAACTGGTGAAGTGATCTGTCTTTTTATCACTCGGGCTGCTTATATTTTTTCAAGACAACCTGATTAATATAGTTAGGAAGAAAACTTGCTTGCTGTTTCTTTATTAAAGAAGTAAGAAATGTTTTTAAGCTGTTGTGAAGATGTTTTCATTCTGTTTTCTTTTTCCCTCTCCCTTTCTTTGCGCATATACTGTTTTGTTCTTCTGTACTGAAAGTAGTGTTGGAACTTGTGAAACCTGGGCTTATTTCCTGGTGTGCACCTGTACTTTTAAACCAAACTACTTAAATGCAGAAACCAGGAAATACAGTAAACTTTCTAAACTTGCCAATTTATGTGTAAGAGCAGTAATGAGCTCAAAGCAAAGCTTTGCCTCAATTAACACGTGGAGGGTCAGTTCACATGTAATCCCACTTGTGTGATTTGAACAAAAGCGTGTCTTTATGTTCATTATTATCTGAATGATTTGTGGAATAGCATACAGCTATAGGCAGTACTTTTGAAGAATTTGGGTGGATACATTTAGAGTATTGAAAATTGCTGGTTTTTATTGTTTTCTTCTTTATCAAAAAAAGCAATCAGTGGATGAATATCTGACATGCTGTTCATTGTGATCCGGTAAAAAAGTTGGTGCATTCAGTTCCCTCTTCATGTGTATCTATTTTGGTTGCTATTGATGGCTGACAGAAAAGAGATCTGTGGCATTTATATTGAGTAAGACTGTCAAAGATTTCATAAACATTAAGTTAAATTTCTTAAAGATTGGTATTTGAACATGGAATCTTGTGATGAACTTACATAATGCTGATAACACTATTATGCAGAATGACAAAATATGGATTTCTGCAAATGTTTCTTAGAATCAGTGCGTAGGTTGATACCTGTAGTTTATGCATGCAAATGTATTTTCATGTAAGTAATTTCTGTCCTTCAAGGAATAATTGCATAATATTCAATATTGTCATAAATGTAAAGGTGAAGCTAAAATCTTTTGCTACGCTGAAAAAAAAAAAAAAGAACCAGTATCTTCTGCCAGTGTCGTTTGGGAGTGCTGAGTCAGGTCTCTTCACCTATTGAATAGTTTGGGATTGGCCCATGGTCACAGTGACTCTTATTTCCTTTTTTTCTTTTTTTTTTTTTTAATCTGGGTGAGGAAGAATATGAGGGAGATAAGAGTGAGAGAAAGGAAGTGTGTAACTGTTACACAGTCATTATTTCAGAGTCAGTGCTGCTTCTTATGGCCTAACTGATGTTAGCAGCAAGTAGTTGAGGTTATTTATGTTCGTGCTTCCTTGTAATGATTACAAACACGAACCATGATCCACGGTGACTCCGTGTGTCAGTTGGTCACAATGGGATCAGTTTTCTTTTTAATTAAATGAAAAACGCAAATGAACTTCAATTTCCCAACTACCATGAAAGTCTCTTGGGAAGCTACTGTTCAAAACAAAACAAACAAAAAATCAGCTAAATTATTCCTTTGCAAAGTCTATGAAAAATACCAGTTTTCAAGATCATAAATCTTCAGAGTATTTTAGTGTCTTGGACGCATGTATATGATAGAGTTCCTGCTTTCATAAAAGGTGGTGTGGTGTATTTTCTCCAAGAAAATGATTTAATATGTGCATAGAACAGTCTCAAAATGATTAGAGTTAAAGCTACAAATGCGACCTTTATCTGGAATATTCTTTTTTGAATGCAGCCTTGACAATATTCTGATGCTTTGTTTCTTGACAAAAAAATAACCAGCTACTAACCCCAAAATCTACTCCTTGCAATAGAAGCCATAAACATGGTGGGACAAAAGGATTCAATTTTGGAATAAGATACGAACCTTCTTGGTGTTCCGAGTGCTACCTGGTTTTATATGTCTTTTGTGCCCTTTTAGCAACTACTGTTTGGTGTGACTAAGGGGACAACAAAGCAGACAGTGCTGTTTCTCTTTACCTTTGAAGCTAGATTAACATTCTTGGTGGAATTAAAAATCCCAACAATGTATTGTCTGAAATAAATGGTCAGACAATGTATATGGAAGTGGTTGATCACATGTTTGTAAATGGCTGCTAAGTTTGAGAATGGAAAGGTAAGCCAAATAGCGACTTATCATCTTCTGTAAGGGTACGTGTGTCTGATCTGTGAAGAGCTTTGTGCAAGTGGATCTACAACATATGCATATCTAATTATGGGAGTCTCAGGATCGTTTCTTTACAATTGTTGTTCATGGCTGTTATTTGTGAGGAAATTGTGAAGTTCCCTTATCACTTAAGAGTAAGCCTTTATTTTTAACTTGTATTTTTTAAAGCTACCTGTTTTCTTAAGTTGGCTTGGGTTGAAAGCTTTAGCATGTGTAACTGTCCTTAGAAAAAATGCAAACACAAAACCTCTCGATTTAAATAGCAATGTCCAGTAACTTGAGGCTGTTGGTGGATAAACTGTGGGCTCCTATGACTTCTGGAATAATTTAATGCTGTGCATGTGATTAGAGAAGATATTAGAGAGATTTTTGCGTATCTGGACTATTGTAAGTCATTTGATATTTCCCATGAGATGCCTTTCAACAGCAGCACTTTGGCTTGACACACTTATTAGGGTGTGTGGTTCTGCAATTGAATGGATTTATGGACTTCTAATTTGTAAAAATTCTTTTTCTTGACATGCAGTGTTACTGCAATAGCACTTATTTCTAGGTTTACAGAACCTTCGTGTTTCTTCTGAAGTGCTGTGTTCTGTCCTCTTTTTTCCCCACTGTTGCTATGTCTGGTTGTGAGAATAAAAACTTATTGCTCTTTTTCCTCAATTGCAATTCTGTTAAGAACCGTATATGCTTGTGTTTTTCCTCACTGCAATAACAGAAGGCTTGAAAGTGTAATGCTATGTAATTCTTTTTTTATATAGGTAATACTTTGAGATTGGAAGGGACCTCTGGAGGTCATCTGGTCCAACACCTCTGCTCAAGCAGGGATGCTCAGGACTGGTTGCCAAGGCCATGTCTTGAAGGCTTTTGACTGTCTCCTAGGATGGAGACTCCACAACCTC